GTGGTTACTGAGTTGTTCTCGCGTTTTCGTAAATCACAGGGGTTCTCGTTTGAACCCTTCCCTATATATATATATATATATATATATATATATATTTATTTATACATATGAAGTGACAAAATTTTAACCAACATATGGTTTATGAACCAACACAACTGTTGGTAAATAACCACCCAAAAAAAAACTGTCGGTAATAACCTATCAACTATGATAAATAAGATAACTTGTAGATAATCACATGACTTAGCTTATAATTTTAACAATCTTGGGATTGCAGAAGTGGAGGCGATTGCTTGAGGCTGGTAAGGAAACATAGAAAATATGTGGAGAAGGCTAAACACAGAGCTATATCTTGTACAAGTAAATCTAGAAGCAATAAATCATCTGTAGATAGATGTGGTAATGCAAAGTGTGGAATTTCTTCACAGCCATTACCCATACTAACCTTCTTTCAGACCTTTTGGAGCTGATTTTGTTTTTCTTTCGTGTTGCAGCTAACTCAACCAGAAATCCCTGAATTTGAATTAAGGTGTTAAATATATTTTTAATGCTTTCTCCATATGTTTCTGCTTGTTCACCTTGCAACTATTTTGACAAATACTCTTGCTTCTGTTTGCTATATGTTCTGCTGGAACTTGAACCTAAAACTTTCCTTCCATACTTCGATTCTCTAATTTTCTAATTATTTTCTACGGATACTGAGATTATGAATATATATATATATATATATACACTGTTCTGATTTTGTTCCAATTTCGATGCGAGCATCCAGTCTCCATATATGTTCTCCGAAAAGTAACAATATGTAGGAAATTCTCTGAGAATTGGTGTCATCATGGAGGCCCTCTTGTTACACATACACTTTCCAACTTTAGTAAAGATATCACACTTCTCTCCAAAATTGATTTCTTTAATTGCACTATTTTGATTGGTTTCATCAGCATGCTGAAATAATCCCATGAAAAAGAAGCAAGCTGATCCAACACTTATATGATGTCATTCAGAAAAAGATTAAAGAGCCATTTACCAAACGCTTACCTTCAAGTCACGCTACCTCACTTGATGAATATGGTAAGGACGAAGAATCTTACCGAAAAAAGCGAGACAAGGATCAAGAGTCTTGTCCGGTAAGTGAGGGCGACGCGCTTACCGGATAAATTGTTGCATACGATATCGTTTTGGTGGACTACAATCTTACCCAGTAAGTAAATAATAGTGACGGGTAAACACTTACCGGTAAGTGTTTGGTAAACGGTCTAAGTGATGAATTCATATATCCTTGTCGATCACCTTAATTCATCAACGAATGCGGGTGGTTTAGATTGTGAAATGGTTTTGAGATCTTGGTCAACTCTATAGTTTTAGTTTGAATGGAATCTAGAGGAAGGGATTGAAGGCTGTCTGTATGAAAGTCAAAAGCTTCCCACTTGTATAAGCATGCAAACAACGTCATTAACACACAGAGTGGACATAAGACGGAAGATTTATAGGATAACAAAAGGTTTTGTGGGACCTGTAGCTAGCATGGTTAGGCGGAAGAGAGTTGGAGAGGTAGAGGATTGGCACTTTAACCTAAGGTTGTGTTTTTGCCATACTTCCTCATTGTGTGTTTTGCTATACCTTGGTGTGTGTTTTCAATTTACCTACTCAATACCCTTTTTCTTATTTTTTCCGTTCTATGTCCATCACGTGCTAATCTTTTTGTTTGCTTACACAAACCAAAGATCTTTACAGAATTAGTCGCTCTACTCTTAGGGATGGATATGTCAAGTTTTTCTACATCTCACCCCTCTAGCGGAATTTACTTACTGACAGTTTAATTGTTTTGATTTAGTTTGGTTTAATGGGCATAGAGGATAGGGCTAGCCATGTATATCTTGATGGTATCAAATGACAGGTGCATGAATTGTGGCTAGGAAAGATTATTTGACCAGAAAATGCCCTCAGCTGGAGGGCACTGCCTCCCTCTTGTGCTTTTCTCATCACACCGGCAAATGAGATATGTGGCGCTCATCGATTGGATCATCAACAAAGATTTTTTTTTTTTTTTTCGTTTAAAGGTTGAAACAAAAGAAAAAAGAAACAAAAAACAGATACACATGCACTGTTCCTTTAATAATAAAAACTGAGGTGGTACAAAAGGCAATAATAGAGAAAAAAAGTCGGGAATCTTCTATCCTTGGATGACTTAATTGTGGGGAAGGGGATGGTTAACAATTTATAGCAAAAGTTTGGAGAAGGGATGACAACTGCTTTCTATGTATCATAAGAAGCTAGCACCACAAATTGCTAGGTAGATTCCTTCAGAAATCTGGCTGGAAGTCCATGCATTGGGACTGGAAATGGACCATACTGAATCCTACTTTCAGATCCCACCACTTCCCATCTGCAACCACAATCATCATACATTAGAATATCTATATATGCCTTTGTCAAACCTAATTTCTACCACCCACTATATATATAGAAATTATTTGTATGTCCACTCTTTTTATATGATTCAACACATCCTGCTTGTAATGTCATATTTGTACGTACCACTAACTCATCTTCAACATTATCCAACGTCAAAAATGTCTAAATATTTTGATAGACTCTTTAATATAACTTCAGTTAATAGAAGCAAACAATTATGGGTCCTATATAAATGTGTTACACTAGGATGTGATGTTATGGTGTATTTGTGCATATTCCTAAAAAGGTTTTAGGAGGCTTTTGAAATGACATTTTTGACAAGTGTCTTATGAAAATATCTTTTTATAGGACAATAGTTTTTACAAAAAAAATTCAAATAATCTCTTATAAAAAGACTAATAAGATGCTTTATTTCAAATTGTTCTAAAAATTTGTTGACTCCGAAAAGCATATTATCGAATTTGTTATAACACATTTACACATGACGCACAATTCTTTGGTTCTAACCTAAGTCTTATAGTAACTATAAGAGTATTCGCGCAATGTAGCGAGACACCTCTCGATTTCAATGTTTTATTTTATTATTTGTCTCTATCGATATTGTAATACTATTTTATGTGTTTTTAAGAAAACAATAATGATTTTATTTTTGAATAAAATATAAATTTGAAAAAAAATATCAATGTTAATATCAAATTAACTATTTAAAAGTTCTTATTTTATATGTAATTTCTTTAATTTTTTTATTATAATTTAATTTAAGTT